TTTATGTTTAAGTGTTGTATTAGTGTTTGTGCATAATTTGTTATGGTAACGTAACTGATATAAAGATTCAGAAACTTACTATGATATTAAAAGGTATTTGAATCACTTAGTTAACCTCCTAGATTTATGACAGTGTTTAATACCCTGCATTAATTATTGTCATCGTCCATTGTCTGACGTGTTAAGTACAACACAGGGAGTAAAGCAGGTATTGGGTAGTGTCTAACATTATTGTAGTGTTACGAATGCTACATGCATTATGCTAAGGCTGTATTACTTTATAACCTCTTTGATATTGGTACCATTGCACATGAATATTGATATTTGTTTGCTGTTAGTGGCCGTCGTCATGCCCCAGCCACACTTTATGCCCGGGAAAGGATCCCGGTACCCATTCAATAGGAGGCTGGGTGGGGCAGCCTGTACGCAGAGGCAAGAGGAAAAATCCTCTGCCCTGTCGGGGATCGAACCCCGGTCGTCTGGCCCATGGCCAGTCGCTATACTGACTGAGCTAACCCTTATACGACCTCATGGCATGAAATACCGTTAAAGGTTAAACATTGCTAAATCCACGATTGGTATAAAGAAGAAGGGTTCTGAGGATTGTACGTGGATGGAACTGGCTTGGGATTGTGTCCAACCGAGTACTTTAATATTATCCTCTCATCTCCTTGGTGTTAAAGCGAACATTTTCTAAGATTTCTGTATTTATTTCTTGTATTCATCATCACACGACAGCCACGGTGGTCTAGCGGTTAGAACGCTGGCCTTGTAATCCTGGGGTCTCGGGTTCGATTCCCGGCGGTGCCCGAATTTATAACTTGTGTTGGGCAAGGCCGTGGTCTAGGCAACACGGAGGTTTCCTCCGGGGGCTTCCCCGGTTTCTCCGTGGCATCCCAACAATTACTCCATTCACACACAGAAGAAGGCAATGGCAAACCACTTCTGGATCATCTGCCAAGAACGTATATGAACAGGTCCCAGTCCGAGAAAAGGATGGAAGGATCCTGTTCATATGGACCTGTCGTCAGACAGAACACTAAATAATAATAAATCATCATACGCTCAGCTCATTATGCTTCTAGATTTCACCGTACTGACAACACAAGATGACATCATAATAATGAACTTCCTTATTATGTAATTTCCTGTATTCTCACTCAATTTGTCCTTATTACGTGCACATATTTCCTTTGTTTTCAAACTCTTGTATTTTATGTTCTTCCCTGAAAGTGAGAAACTGTGTTTTGTGGTCAGAATAGTTTTGTACGTCTTGAAAGTGTAAGGTTTTATTAGAACTCTCTGTTTCCTATTGTTATCTTGTGGTATATTCGTAAGCAAACTTGTATATCTCTTGTCTGCACCTAATTTACAGCTCACTCTGATTCCCTCTCCTAAAGTTTTACGGTATCTTGGTAAACAGTACTGAAATGATAGCAAGAAACAAACATCTCATAAACCAGACTTCTAAGAATTTCCATTATTCATCACAGTCTGTTGACAAAACTATGTCACGTTTAAATGCTTTTAAAAGTAAATAAAGATTCTGGAACAATGTAATCTTCCATGAGTTTTGTACTGAATGAGACCCATTGCAAAAGTCTTTTTTAATGAGTTGTGGAGTTACGTGACAGTGATGGATATTTTGGCAGCTATAGACAGTTTGTATAATGCATATTCACTAATTCTATGAAGTGATAAGAAATTAGTAAGACTGGATAAAATATAAAACCAGGATATTGGGAAATACTTAAATAGAATTAACACAAATTAGTGAGTTTAAGGGTAATGCGATTTGGACATGTGTTGAAAGTGTCAGAAATAAGGATTTTTGTATCGGATGGTGAAAGATTATCTTTTCCTGTTCAGGTCATGCTCCAAACTTGAGCAAAGAATATATTGTGGGCACTCCCATATCTGTCTATCTCCCCAGATTATCACTGTAAGATTTTTGCTTCGTAATGTGTTACGACGATGAGAAATTACCTTGACGTTTTATTGAATCATTATGTTTGAGACATCTCACGAGTCTGAAAAAGATTATTTCTGCAGTGTGCCACATGCATGTCTGTGTATTCTATCCTTGATGCGATTTATCATTGTTTCTTAATACTTTGTATAGAGCGCATAAAATGTATTCAATGGAAAATTTGTATTTGTCCAGTTGGTACCATATGTTTTGGAGGGGGGCGGGTGTAGAGCAGCTGAAGCATGAAGGTGACTACATCTCCATCTAGTGCTGAGTTCAAGAATCCATTTTGTATCACACCCATTTTACCTTTTAGAAACCATTCGTGTTCATCTGACGCCTCACAATTGCAGTCGAACTTATAGAACAGCCACTGAATCTGCTCTTATTTATTTTCAGCACTGCTGCTGGTGTCTGCAGCCGTAATTGCCCTGCCTGTGGGACCTTATACGTTGCCAACCAAACGTGAAGGCCTTGAACAACTGGATCTTCGCGATGGCTCCAGTATTACAGATTGGCCATCGCATATCTCAGAGGAACTTCTCCAAACACAACACCACATATCTCCTAACTATGACGCAGATATGTGGGTGGGTACACGGGGCTTGTACCACTCATCCACCGCACCCACAGTATCAAGTGTCTCAAGGAAAGAAATGGTAGACCCATCCACCAAGGCCATTACAAAACCTAGTATTAGTACATATCTACAGTCGGGAATTGAACAGAGTATTGTGACGCCACTTGTGTTGTATGCTTCACGTTCCCTCGACAGCTCTGTTACAAGTGGAAGTCGTGTCGTGTTATATCCAACTGCTACAGAAGAGAATATATTTTCTACAGTGTCAAGTGAAGACAGTTCACACCTCCGTGACACTGAAGTTTTCAGGAAAAAAAGTGTTGTGAGTGACGGGAAAGAAGATGCACGTCGTACAAAATTAAGTTTAATATCAGAAACTGGAATTGAAAACCAAGACTTCTCTGAAATTGAAGATACAACTTTGTCAATTATTGGTGTAGCGAAAAACTCTGCAGCTAATGATAATAGTTTTGTAGTGACATCATCAAATGGCATAACTCCATCTGTGTATAACAGTTCTGAAAGCATCTCGTCAAATAGTAGTAATATTTCTCTCGATCTTCTTGTTCATACTAAAAACTCTTATAGCCAAGGCATTGATAAGCCGCTTGTGAATATCCCTCACCTCATAACCAGAGACTTGAGAAGCAATTCAGAATCATCTCTCACCACATCATCATCAATTTCAGTTGTAACTAGTCATGAATATGATCACCCTTTGCCCCTATATTTACCACTTCTTGACCTAAATCTACCGATAGCACGAACTGGTAAGTCTGCAGGCTATTTTCCTTCGCAGCTTCATCGTCGTGTGCTTTCTTCACCCTCGCCCTCCAGAGTTGAACCGGATATGACACCAAGTGACACCGTGAGTGGTTACAAAGATCGCCCTCCAGAGTTGAACCAGATGTGACGCCAAGTGACACCGTGAGTGGTTACAAAGAGGGACCAAAGAATAGTGATGAGATATTGAACCCCGTAGTTGCAATTAAGGATTCAGACGGCTCACAACTTGAGAAAGGTGACAGTAGCGTGATATGGATCTCCACAACATCACAAGTCACTGATGTGGCACCAAACCATAGGAAGATGATACCAGCAGCAGAACATGAGTCTAGTAATGCTCGACTCAGACATCTTGATGATGCAGAAATGGCTGACAGTCCATACAGCCCTCCAGAAAGTTTTACCATTGTTGGTTCAAGAATACAGACTTTTGGTAATGGCATTTCCAAACCTCCATCTGCATCTTCACTGGATCTCCCAATTGATAAAGCAGAGAATGGGACTGATAACAAACCTTTGGACTCAGATGATCTCATTGCAGGCTCAAGGGAGAAAGGGCAAGGTAAAGAAATACCGAAAATAGTTCCTCCGTTGGCGACCAGCTCCGAGGTTGTGAATACTCCATCTCAGAGTGGAAGACATTCTGATAACGTAACTAAAATCAGTTATGTTTCACCTATAAACTCAGAGAACGTAGATGGGAACGCTTCACTTGGATCTGTGACAGACAACGCCAACTCCTCGACAGTTACTAGTGACGGACAAAGCCTCCCGTTGTATCCAGAAAGCAGTGTTTTGACACTGCCATCTATTGTACCAGGATTAAAACAAGTTGGTAATGTTACAATTGCAGCTAAAGATATTGAAGATAATGAGACAACTGTGATAACGCTATCACCGACTGTTATGCCAGTCAGTGATGGCAGAATAGCGGCTTCTGCCCCAAGTGGGTCTTACCATGGGCTTGACGCTGCCTCCATCACTGGTATCTCTTTGGGGATCCTTGTCTTTGCAGCACTTGTGGGTAAGATATGCTCTGTGACATCCTACCAACTCCTGAAATGCGAAATTCTTAATAGAATGACAATTTATTAAATGAAAATTAACTTCTCATTAATTGAAAGCAGTAATGGTGAACTGATATAACGTATACTTATAAAAATAACAAAACTAAGATCTTTAATACTTTGATTTAGTGTGAAATAAGTAAAATGGATTAAGGTAGCAACTGGTAATGCAAAGGATTAGATCAGTGGTCCCTAACCTTTTTGTGCGCACAGGCACATTTGAGAGTTTATGAGACCGTGGCGTGCACCAACCAATTAACAAAGCCAAATTTTCTTTTCTCTGGACAAATAAGACATGGACACCAAATAATACGCAAAACAACACGACGTTTAATGATACAAGAAACAACGCAATCAAAAATATGTAGTTTTATAAGTACAATTATTATTATTCAAGTGGGAAGTTAGTGTGATGTTTGGCACTGCATTTCATCGGCCAGTTTTTCAAATTTGGGAGTGTAGGATGATGTTGCTGCTCGCAAACGATCGTCAAAATGGGTGTCAGTAAGTCGAGATCAGTGCTTTGATCTTATAATGTTCTTGGTTGAACAGCCTTCATTATTCAGTGTAACCTCCTTCCATATCAACGCAGGCACCCAAAAAAAGCCTTGGCGGGCACCGCGTTGGGGACCACTGGATTAGATGGCTGGGAATGTTCAAATAGCATATGAACTTTTTTTATTGGTGTGTCTACCAAAAGAATAGTATTCCTTTCTAAAATTATTAACTCAAAAAATGTATTAATTTAGCTTTATAAAATGAGGAATTGGTGGGTTTACTTTGTGTTACTATCATCAATAGTTGGTACCTAAGCAAAACTAATATTTGTCTCTAAAACCAAAGTCTTGAGGTTTCATCTTGAAGCTGTGTTTGGCGGTGATTTGAAAAGGTTTAAGTAGCAACTACGCTGGAGCCTGGCTAAGACAGTGGAATAACAAATTGGATTGTTTACAGAAAATGCAGGTTGAAAATATTTTATATGACTGCGTCTACCATCAGTAATGGTACAAAACAGGACAGAGAATTAGTTAAATTCTTTCTGATAACGTAGGCAGTAAACAGATACGGAATGCGCGCTGGTTCGAGTCTCGGGGGAGAATAAATTTTCTCATGAGATTTTCGACCGGTGTATGGGACCGGTGCCATCCCACCATCGTGAGGAAATTGGGGAGCTACAGTGAGTAGCGTAATCCGGTCAGGAAAGCTAGCAATGGCTGGGGGGTTGTCGTGCTGACCACACGTCACCCTATATCTGGTTGGATGATCGTTCACCTCTGCTTAGGCATGTGAACGTGAGGCCAGCAGCCAGCTAGTCGGCTTTGGCTCTCTGGAGCTGTTACGCCACGGATTAAATTAAATTTTAATTAAACAACTCTTGGTAGCCTCCTCTATAAATCATGAAGTTCCTTGTCGTTTAAATGCCTACTTACTTGATCTTTAAGGTCCAAGTATTTTCTAGAGTACTTCATGTTCAAGCATTTGTAACTTAGGTTATTCTCTCAAAGTAAAGGACTGATACCCATTTCTAAAGTAAAGCCATCGTGAAAGGAAGCAAGATGGCATCTTGGCTCATCATTCCCATCTTGGGCACTGCCCAGAATTACAGTTTAATTACTGATCTAGTATAATTGTATAAACTTCTATTAAAAGAATGACCACAATTAATTTAAACCAACTAAATTTGATTTAATTTGGCAAATTGGGTTTGTGTAAACATTAAACTGTGTTAATTAAACCTACTTATCACAGTCTTACTGGAAAATATTCCTTTTGAGAAGACGATAGTCTCTTAGCGTGTCAAAAAATTAATTACTTTTGCAGGAAGAAATACCGAAGCTGTTTGTTTTTAAAGCTGTATCATCGTACATAATTTATAACCATACTAAAATCTTTGGATATAGCAGATTTAAACGTCTGAACTAAGGAACTGCCAGCTGGACTTTAGCTACACTTTAGGTGTTTGTCGCTGTGATGCGTGGCCAACTGGGTGATGTGTAAGCGGCAATACATGGTTGATGAAGGTTCCCACCTCACAGGCTCATGTGTCTGCCACGTTTTTATTACGTGTCATGTGAAATTAGGAAGTATAAGTTATGGTGGTCTCCAGTTTAATAAGTTCGTACCAGATTTTGTGAAAATCGGTCAATTAGTTAAAAAGTTCAAAGGGGACACACACATGTACAGACAGCATGGTTTTAGTCAAGTAATTTAAATTGAGGACACAAACATAATTTATTATAGAGTGAACTTTCATATCTTCTCTTTTAAGTTGGTTATAGAAATGTATATTGGTCTTTAATGTCTTCTTTCTGGTAAGTTATTTCTTTCAAATCTAAATGTACAGGTAACATCTGTATAATAACTTGATGCAAATTCTTATGAATATTGCAGGTGCAGTGAGTTTTGTTCTGTATCGCCGTCGATTTCTCAACAAACCACAGACTTTGAATGACAAGTGCAGTAATCCAGACTCAAGTGGCTACATTGACGATAGCACACTTAGGGTGAGTAATTTCGATGAAACAAAGTAAAAGATCAATTCAGGTGTCATATAGATGCTTTGCCCTCAAATCATCTTAAGATTCTTAGAAATCAGACACGAAGACCAGATATTTTGAACTGAGAAGTAGCAAGCATTTCCGTAATTTAGTCTCCTAATTTCCTCGTGAATATTATTTTGATTTGTTATTGTGGTTCCCAAACATCTGAACTTTGTAACACTTTTAAAGGATTTATTACCCACCCTAAATATGATTTTTCCTGCCTGTCTGCTGATGTGATACTAAAATGTACTCAGTTTTTTTCTGAATTTACTTCTAGCCCCACCTCTCTAGTAGCTTCTAGTAAAATTTTTGTGTTCCCCTTTATTGTATTTATATTAACATCATCAGCATATGTCAGGTGACAATTTTCTAAAAGGTTTTCCTGTCTGAATTATGTATGCATTCCTTGTCTTTGCCCGTTGTAGCTACGTTTCCATCCAATTTCATCTACCTAGATTGTACTATCCCAACAAAACCAGCTGACTTGAATAAATTACCAAGTCCCTCATTATGTAAATCTAAATTTCCGACATACTTTACCCTCCTTAAATCTGAGTTTTCTCCTTAGATCTTTGTTTTCAGATGCTAGTGATTTATGATCTTTCCCCCAAAGTAACAAACCATGCTTCGCATCAGTACGAAGCAACTAGCAATTTTTTTTTCTCGTAATCTTCAGAATTTGGACAGTAGTTCATGAACTGGCAAATAACAGGAAAAGGAACTGCCAATTTATATCACAAAATTTCACCTGTATCTCTTTATTTGTTGATGTAATTTCCTTGGTACTAATGAATTCTTTTATACTCTTGTTGTCACCCTTATTTCTGTTTTAAACAGTTTTGTGAAATTATATTTTGCAGGAGAACTCTGAGGAGATGTACAGCTTGGATAACGACTCGTTCCTCAATAGTTTGGAAGCCATGACGATCCAAAACTACTGGACAGATAATGTTAAGCATACTAAGCTGTGATTTGGTGTTATCGTAATCACAATCTTAAAGCATTTCACAGAACTGAAAAGTGGTGGAAGTTATTATGTATTTGTTTATCAGAATTCAGAAATATAATTACTATCAAGCATTCTGTTCTGGTAATAAACAGACATCTGTCCTAATATCTAGTAACATATCTTGAAAGATTAAAGAAGTATACTTAAATATGAGTACGTCTTTTTCCCAAAATTTTATTTATTATGGCCAGGACTCCAAAAATTATTACAACTAATCCGTAGAACAGAGTCCGTCTTGCAAAGTTACTGGTTCCTCAGCTAGTCAAGAACTTTCCCACCTTTTATGGAAGATGTACATTCATTACCGTGTTAAAAATTAAACATACGACTCACTAATGAAACTCATAACCAGCAACTAACACAGTTACTCCAATCTTAGAATTAAAATCAGATCAGAACAATTAAAAGAATTTTAGCTGCCTTCATTCCTTTCAGTCGTATATACAACTAGGAATACGATCGTGCATTTAATTTGTGCTGGAAACTGATTGAAATTTATGTCTGCAAGAAGAAGAATATATTGCAAGTTTACTTTATTACTATTACAATTCACAGATTTATTTTTAAAAAAACTTCAAAACATTGTTTTTATTAACAAACTAATTGTTTTAATTTAATAGATATTACAAATTATTATTCTTCGCCAGCAACTGAGAGTGATCAGAGTGTGTGTCCTGTTTCGAATCAGAATTAATTCTAAAATAATGAAACATTTAGACATTTGGTAGATTTCTTTGGATGGAATGTTTGCTCATTGAAAGGCTTTTGATCGCGCAGCCAACGTGATGGTAAGCGTTGCAAATTAATGTATTTGCGGCGTTCGTGGTTTCTCCGTGCGGGTGAGTAGACGTAATTAAAAAATGACAATCTTATAATGCATTACTCTATACTTTTCTAAACATATTCACAAGCTTCTGCCACATTTTTAAATAGTTTGAAAGATTTTGATCTATTTTCATCAGTCTGTCATTTGGGTCATTAAAGATGTGAAGGTGTGTGATTTCTTCAGTGATAAGATATTTTAGAATACTTTGAGGAATCAGATGGATGCTAATTTTATAAATAACACAGTTCTAGTAAATCTGAATATATGTGATACCTCAGGTAAAAAATTTCAAACAGTCGCTGAAAATGTTTTATTGACCGCTATTGTGTGGGAATATGGGATTTAAACTACTGTACTACGGGGTTGCCGGCTAAATTTTAATTCCAGGTTTAATAATTTAATGGTTTGCTGCTACAAAACATGGGCCGCTAGACTGCATGGTGAGTAAAGGCTAACGGGAACCACCACAGCACTTACTAATGAAACAGTGAAACTTTAAGGACATATTTCAAATTCTTATTAACTTTTAATAATGGAGAGAACGAGTGGGATTCTGCTATCTCTCGCTCATTTCGAGCAATAGTAATTACAGTTGGTATTCTCAGTGGATCTTGGTAGTTGGAATGTCACTCAAGGCATGGTTGTTTATTTGTCCTTGTATTTCTGTGTCGTGCTTATCTGTGAAGGCAGAGACCTTAAAACCAGCTGATCACCAATCCAAGGAGTCCTGCCAAATGTTATAATGGATCATATTTCAGAAATTACTCTGAATGGAATTGGTGACAAGGCCTAATCCATAAGAATCGACTATTTTATATTAAAACTCTCATAATGTTGAAGTTATTACAGAGTGTGGTGTTCTGTGGTAGAATACCACATACACATTCAGAGCAGTGTAAAACATTGACCTTCGGGGATGATCCATGTCGAATGTCATCCTTAAAAGCCGAAGTTTTACGTTGAACTCCAAGGAGGAAAGTCACTAGCCTCTTCTAAATCTACATTTCTTCAGTGCTGCACTAGGTTCAAAAGAGGTTACAATTATTTGGTGGTGGAATAATTAAATTACATGTAAAGATAAAGTGTAAGTAACCAGTGATGTATGATTTGGTATTGTGGCTGTGTTACAGCCATGTTTTATGAGTCATGTTGCAGCATTTCTTTTGTTTTCTTAACCTCTTAAATCAATACAAAGGAAAAGAAAAGTATTGATAAGGAAGAAGTCATGGCCTATTTCAAAGTAGCAACCCGTCTTTTTTAGTGATAAACCCTGGTTTAACTCAGGAATGTTGGATTTTGTGGGCTCAGGGACAAGTTTCTCAGGTTGCAGGTCAGCCAGTTGATTTTTAATATTTCTGTAAAATGTGGGAAATTGCAACACTGCCCCCCTGCTGGTGGGTAATAGAAAATAAAATTATCTATTTAAGATGTTAATAATAGCTCCTCAGATATTCTTCTTATATCACTTTTAGCAAAAGTAAGTGTAGTAACAGCGATACAATCCATGAAGAGTAAAGCTGGCCACACATTCCTCTTGCTCTACATTTTGCCTGCGCGCAAACAAAGTCTGGAGGTAGTTAAGGACACAGACCATGGCACGTAAAGTGATATATCACCGTAATATAAAAGAAACACTGGAGAAAGTCAGATATTCTAGACCAAACCAACGAGTCCTGGGCCGCATGACGTCCGTTTCCAACATAGCGACTCGTGACTGGAGATGAGGACACGGACAGACGGAGGATGACCTTGATTTGTGCTGACTTTCAGAAATTACTTCACAAAGGTGGTAAAAAAAGAACAGATATCCATGTAAAATTCAGATTTGTACCAGCAGTCAGTCTTATTACTAAACAGTTGACTCACTCGGTCGATTGATCAATCAGCCAGTATTCCAAGAAAACAACTTTCACGCTTTACTTTGGTTTCGTCTCTTGATCAGTGACATGACGGACGAACACATTGCCTTCTGGCATAATCTCTGGTGGTTCCTCAAATTCGTACATGGAAGAGCACGCAATTGCAAGGACAGTGCCATCATCGCTGAAGCACAGCAACGAGATGGGCGCACTGTAGCGTTGAAACTGACACAACCGTTTCCTGTTGAATCTATCCCATATGTTGACTTAACCATCAGAACCTCCTGTTGCAAATGTACTGTACCCTTTATGGAAACTGATGGCATTCACGGGATAAATATTCTCAATTCCACTTTCTTTTATTCTATGGCACTTGAAAGCATATCTCATCTTCTGGACTTCAGGACTTACATCCGATATTAAAGAAATTAAGGTCAGAACCTGGTGATGGAACTTGAACTGCTGCAGAAAGTAACTCCATGAATTACAAAAATAAAGGTAGACCTACACGGCACTACAACCTTACAACCCAGAAGACTGTAATCTTTGTACTCGCCACTGTGAAAATCTCTAATCTTTTTATTAACTTATTTTATGTGATATCGTATGGATGGTGGAGAAATTGGAAATACAAAGTTCTGTGAAAAATTTCTCCACTAACTACATTTACCTCCTCCCAGAAAAGCCATCAACACCACTGAAGTTATTGCTTATGCACATTGGAGATGAAGCGTTGTTGCCGCACTGGGACTTTCCCCATCATTTAGTAAGTATGAAATTAGGAACGTAAAATTTTGGAACTGCTACATATCAAGCACTCATATCCTGAACTTAAGTATCCTCTTCCATTTTTAAATAATTAAACCACTCATCAGGTTTTAATCTCCAATTGTTTCAAGCAAGAAGACTTGATGAATTCAGAAACAGTTGAAGAACTCATACCACATCCCAGTAATTTAATACCATTGCAAAATAAACATTTTTTTTAGTAATGAAAGACTCTCGAGCAACAAGCCGTGTCAGGTGGCGGAAGAAATGGTTCATTCACTATTCAGCCACCTGACGCGGCTTGTTGCCCAAGAGTCTTTCATCGACTTCGGTTACCACAAAAGCTTCGCTTTATACATTTTTTAGTAAGTTTATCTGTATTTGCTTCATTATATAGTTTATACGTTGCATATTTTTGGTCCTAACACAGTGATCTTTGCATTTTACTTTCCGCAGGAACTTTTTCGCTGTATGAATATGATTACACTCAGTCTGTGAAAAAGTCTCTCGAGCCAAATAACTGACCACCATTTTATATTTGTGATTGCGTCTCCACTAACACTCCGTCTTTCCTTCAAATTCAAGAAGATGCAGGCAATGTACAAGCAAAAGGGATATTGTGTGGCCAGCTTAACAGAAAATTCATTTTAAAAGGCTGACTACTTTGGTATACGTTAGTTTTCTGTACAAAATAGTAAGTACTTTATCACTTTTAATATCTGTAAAAACTTGTTTAAATATATGTATATCTTGTGATATGTCTCTCATTGCTTCATTAGTTAAAGATGTAGATTAAACATTGTGTCATGAATCAAAAGGAACTTATAACCAACATTTATTTTCATTTTATTTGTAGATAAAAATGGTGAACAGGCTTTATTTTAATTATAGACAGACAGAAGGACAATAAGCTCTGTTGGTTGTGGTGGGTGACTAGTTATAGCCATGTTTACTTTTTTACTTTATTTTGTGAAGATTGAAGAATAACAACTGTGACTGCACGTAGCTTTGTAACTTGAACACATGGTTTTTGGCCTTTCTGCCGAGACAGCTCTCTAAACCAGTGTTTCTCAACGTATGGTATGCATACCACTGGTGGTACGTGAGCCAATGTTGAGTGGTATGCGAGCTAAGTAAGAAAATCAAAGGATAATATTAACATAAATAAGTTTTCCGAACACATTTGGTTAGTGGTACATTTAATGTGTTAAATTAGAATTAGTGGTACGTCGGCGAAGAAGGTTGAGAACCCCTGCTCTAAACAATTTAACATAAAGTAGGCCCATTATTGAATCTATAAATTTCTCATTGATACAGAATGTTAGAATCCAAAAGGGTTCTCTTTGAGGAAAGAACATAAATTACAAATATTTTAACGTGCTCAGGAAAATTTTTGGACCTTAGAAACAAGAAGTCAACAGTTAGATATTTCGTACACAGGAATAGTGAGATTTATATGTCAGATAGTATTGCAATGATGAAATGTAGAAAGCTGTGATGATTTAGACATGCAGTTAGATGTTGGAGACAAGGAGTTCATATGAAATTTTGATGGGGAAACCTGTTGGAAAATCTAGAAATGACCTGTAGCATATGCTTCCATTGGGACATCTACAGACTGTCAAGTGTTCTGGCAGTGCTACAGCTTCTCAGTGCAACATCATCATGAATCATATTATATTTTTCTTTTGTCTAAGCATTGCACTGTGAAGGTTTATGGAAGTGAAGCTGGACAGAGTCACAGCCAATCTCGATAAATGGTCACCTTTCCACTCCTTAAAACTTTGCATACCGTGTAGTGTATTAGAATATAAAATAAGTAAACAAACAACTATTAACACTATAAAAAGACACTATTGCCATACGCGTTTCAACCTCAAGAGATCATCATCAGTGGCATCAGGGAAATTAATTCATTTAATCAAAAGATTTAAACTGACAATTGGACGACGACGTTTTACATTTACTAGACGATGGATAATATCCAAGGAAATTTTTATTCAATTGACTCTTCACCGTCGTCAAGAAGTTTTAGGTTTAAACTGGATTTAGAAAATAAATAATGAATAGGACATTTGACGAAAAGTATTTTAAGCGACACTGCACCAGATGTTGTTATTCACAGGAGTTGAACTCTGCACTTAACTATTGATCCGATGGTCTGGTGGCCGTAGCTGGTCTGCGGAGAGCTGGGGTTGCGTCGTCCATACCTGTGAACTCCAGAATCGTGGGTGTGAGCAGTGTCGCTTGAAATACTTTTGTTAAACACCCTATTCATTATTTATTTTCTAAATCCAGTTTAAACCATTTGATTAAATGAATTAATTTCCCTGATGCCACTGATGATGACCTCTTGTGGTTGAAACGTGTATGTCAATAGTGTCTTTTTATAGTGTTAATAGTTGTTTGTTTGCTTATTTCCACTCCTGTTTCTTCTTTCTCAGAAAGAACTCAATCAATTCAGACATTGTAGACCCCACAGTCATTCTCAATAAATGGTAGACTTCACACTCTCGTCTCTTTACGTCATGGAAATAGCCCCAGTACCAATTAAGTGGGACACACCCCACTGTAAGTTCTCAGGGAAATGGTGAACATTAAGTATTGTTCTATTAGAGACTGATTTATTGATTTTGGCAGGGGTAAAAGTAAACTGTTCTAAGCAGCTGATGAATAAGAGCAATTAAAATTGTTATATCAGTCAGATGTTGTAAACAAGCTTGGATTTAATGGAGAAAGATTCTTTCTTGGTAATATCTCTAAACTTCTGACATAATAACTGAACATGCAGGATGGCTACTTCTACTCACTCAAATTTTCTTTTATTTGTACGTAGATCTGTGGCAAAATACTTTGTGTGATGAAACAAAATATCTAAAATTTGTTGTGCAGAGAGAGGTTAATATTACCCGTACCTTAATACAGAGATATGCCAGTACTGAAACATGACTGTGAAAAGATGAGAATTTTAAGTTTCTTGACTAAAAATAAACTTTAGAAATAATATAAATGTTTAGAATCAATTATGTACCTTTGGACAAGTTTCGTAGGAGGCATATTCAATGTTGTTTTTTTTTCTGTTATATGAGAAAATGTGATGGTGTAATCTTGGGGATAAACCATGATTATTCCTATAAATATTATAGAATACTTGTTTGCTTTTCAGTTGGTGTATGTACCGTAATGTTTTCTGTTTTTAGAAATTCAGTTGTGGGACCAAGCATTCGGGTAGCCAAGTATTAATCCCCATAATGTTTAGAATTTGTTGCCGTTATCACCATTGCTCTGAGCTTGCCTGTTTTGAAACTAACCAAATCATTCAGAATTTCTTTCAGTAAACATAACACGTCAGTAACTTATTTGATTGGTGTTGTAGTACGCTGATACTTTAATACCAGCAACATTTGAGGGGTTTCTACGAATAAAACATTACTAAAAAATTAAACTTTTTGGGACATCAAAAAGAAAACCTTCTGGCATCTGAACCAGTGAAAATTTCTTCACATTTTCAATGCATTTACAGTGGTCAGGAAAGCCTTTTGGGCATGTGATGTTTCTCCAAAATCACCACCATTTCTCCACTCATTTTCTTCTGGGCTGATGCGATTTTTCCTGCACTAATGTTGCCCCCTTATGAGTGCAGGTTTAACATATAAGATGGCAACACAAACTAAAAACACGTGACAAAATTTACATAAACCTACTGGTCTGTAAATTTCTTGGCATTGACCCAGCCACTGTAGAAATCGGGGCCCTCCACCCTAATAAGGCTGTATGGCACTTTTTTGGTGAAATTTCGTTATGACTTTTGCCCTCTTTCTTTTGCTATACACCATTATTCCAGGGTAGCAAACTTATGAATAACAGTTACATAATGATATTGTAACCATATGGAAAATCTGAAATTGGCCCTGGAATAATGCTGTGCGGAAAAGATTGAGGGCACAATTGGGGGAGAAGCATTACTTGAGGAGAGGCCACAAATTACAAACTTGATTCAACATACGAACTAAGGAAATGGTGGGGGTCTTGTTTTATCTGTGACAGTCTTGACTGATTTGGTTGTAATGTAAAATAAATTAAAAGTAAAGCTGTCCCCCTACACACCATGTAGGCACTTGATGGGGGTTCCTACTCATTCTTGCGTGCTTTACCCCTGGGAAAGGACCCTGGTACCCATTGAATAGGAGGCTGGTAGGCCCCAGAGTCAGTATGGATGCAGAGGCTAGAGAAAAAAATCCTCTGCCACCCCCCCGGGATCGAACCCCGGTTGTCCACAGTCTGTATCCAGTCATGATACTGACTCAGCTACCCCAGCTTTGAATTGGTTGTAATGCTGAAAACATATTTCATAAAATTTGACAGTTAATTACTGGTTAAAAATTAAATTAAATCCGTGGCATAACAGCTCCAGAGAGCCAAAGCTGGCTGCTGGCCTCACGTTCACATGCCTAAGCAGAGGTGAACGATCATCCAACCAGATATAGGGTGACGTGTGGTCAGCATGACGAACCCCCAGCCATTGCTAGTTTTCCTGACTGGAAGTTAATTACTGGTAGTACTTGCAATATATATGAACACTCTCATAAGATGTACACTTTTGGGATAGATTTACAGATATTTAACATTGATACATTTTGATGTATCTGTTATATATCATGTACCTAGTCTGTGATATATCATGTTTTGTAGTTGGCATATTTTATTACATAATTATAAGTAGATATGTTTAGTATTCCTGTAAATGTGATTTCAGACAATTTCAAGGCTAAGAATTTAATGTAGTTAAATCTTATGTAATGAATGATGGAAAACATGTAAATATTATATTATGCACTTTACTTTCTAAATAAATTAGTTTCAATTTCCAAGAAAGTGAAGAAAAATGTAAAAAATATAGATTGTTGTTTATTTTATATTGAAAGGTAATTAATTATATTTCTTCATTACTTTGATGTGTGGCATAGCCATTTTAGTTGTATTTACACAAAGCATATATTACTTAATGGCGCCCTGTAATAGTTAATTGAATACAGAATATAAAAAAATTAAAAAAAGAGTTCATAAATATGTGTGTGTGTAAACTACAACAAATCTGTGGACATTTGGGAATAACTAACATGAATGTGTGATATTTATATCTCACATGTCACACAGCGTTTAAAAGTTTAGTTCCATGCTTTGTAGACATATCTAACTTCAAATATCTAATGATGTTACAGCCCAACTTTGGCTGGGATCTCAGCCCTGCTTTCTACTAAATATTTGTGGGATTCTTCTTCTTCTAAGGCTCTCCGGTCCGTATTCGGTCCATAGCCTCCTCAATGCTCCTCTTCCAATCGGTCCTCTGTTAGGTCCGTCTGTCCGAGGCTTTGATCGAGGTTTTGAAACATCTTCCTTTTTACGATGCAAGGTTGTTAGCCTTGCGACCAACCCCCAACCTGGAGGACCAGGGTACCTGTCTTAGTCTGACCTCTCCCCCTCGACCAATCTGGCTAGGGAGGCCCTACCAGTAGCTATGCTACCGCCACTGAGGTACTCAAGCCCCACCACCACGACAAGGTGCAGGTTACAGATATTAAATATCTTGATAGGGCAAGTGGATGTGTTGTAAGTGCATTGTAGTTGATGCAAATATGAATAGATAGGAGGGCAAAGTATAGCATATACTGAACAGTGACACTTTTCCAACTGGAGTTGGCTGTCATCTGGGTTGCAGTGCCATGTATTCTGGCAAATGTTCAGTTCTACCACACTACATGGTTCAGCCATCTTATACTCACTGCTTTGAGAATCTCAAATCTCACTGTCCTAGCTACCTGTGACTGTCTTAGGCTTTAGGTAGAAGGACATTAAATAGATTTGTCACTAAAGACAGCATCATAACTACCTGCACAGCACTAGATATATGTTTTATCCATTAAATAGAAATTAATATACCAAAGCTCCTATCTACATTATCTTTTTACTGATATTATCTCAAGTACAGCACCAGTTGAGGTTATGTATGTTGAGTTGAGAATGGTGTTAGAAGTGTTCATGCCCTATTTGAAGGTACTGTCCCTATATTTAGGCCAACATCAAGAAACTGAAGAATACTATAAATAACCTCAGTCATAGCCAGTTTCCTGCCTGAAATCCTCTCATGGAGTGTAGGTCTCACTCCTCTGGAACCCTTGCAACCAAAGTTTTGTTTGCACCTGTTGCTTCCCCCCTTCATGCTCATCTCATCCTCCTTTTAGCCATCCTTGCAGTATTAGATGAGTCATTGTCCTCATGAAAAGGATATTAGATGACTTTTGTAGATGAGTCATTGTCCTCATGAAAAGGATTTCTTTCAAGCTATTTCCTCTAAATTCTACACAGTTGGGTATGGACATATTGAATTCTGTGAGTCTAGTATTAGTTATGTATGGTAATTCATTAGCAATGACATGATTAAACATCTTTTACAATTTCTCAGCTGTTACTAGATTCTTAAAGTCACAGTTGAAGAGAAAAAAACATATCAACTGAAAAAAAATACTAAGATTAAGACTTGTCTGTTACCGAGTAGAGCAGACTGTAGACTACTGGAGAAGACTGTACCAATGATCTCAACATTTAATAGTGATAAAACAAGACTAGTCAACATGAAGTACAAAAACCTGTGTGTTGTTCACTATAACCTACAGAAAAGAGGTTATGGCAAGAATTACATGTTACAAATGCACCTTTTAGAAAGGAAGAGAACGAATATAAGAATGAATTAGTTTATATTTCAATGTTAAATTATGCAGAGACAATGTATGGAGAAAATATAAGTGAATAGTTAATTCTAGCAATCAGTTTTGTTGGACACCATACGGACGGAACTAATAAGTGTGAATTGACCTTCATGGAGCGTAGCAATATTAATAGCCTTGAGCGAATGGGATATCTCTATTAAACATCTGTGAGCTATACTTTAAACCATTACTTGCAAAGTTTCAGAATACTGGTCGGATCTCAGTAGAGCCAAAGCATATTATTACGGGAGGTGTATATACTGTAAGTAGACCGTAAGATACATAATTCAGAAAGGTGTTCAGTTTTAGTAAATTTAGTCTGCAGACATAAATTTGTAAACTTTCGCTGAGATGAGCAAACAAATTTTGGCTATTTAAGTCGTTGAATTGTCTGCCTGGAAGAGTAGCAAACTCGTTATTACCATGCGTCTTGATTAAACTGTTTTTATTATACAGTTCAGTATTAAGATAACTTGTGCGTTGCGAGGTGAGTGGTTTGTAAGTGTAAGCCTATCTCTTGCATATCCTAAAGATCTATTATTAATATTAATTAGTCACACGTTGAAGAGTTCACACATATTATATAAGTGAGCTAAAAGTACAATATTGGATACAAGCTTTAAAAATTCATTTACTGAGAAGTCACAGAGTGCGTACATTCATGTTACAAGCCCTTTGTGAAATGTTCGTTCAGTATTCATTTGTTTATTATGTTCTCACCGTCCTTACTTTATTGTGTGTGACTTAAGTTGGGTCAGTAATTACGTTGTTGGACTCCAGATTAGACTTAATAACATTATATGCGTGGAATATATGCAAATCCTTGGTTTAGAAACTTGGGAGAAATTAAATTAGTGACAGGACAGAAGGATGTGGCAACCACAGGTGTAATCTGAAATCAGCCAAAGACTAAGTAGGTTAGAATACTTTCTATGGATAAAATGCAAAATATAGTTCTTCATCACAAAATGTTCGTGTTGGCTTTGTTAGCGTACTGTTTGTGGAATTCAAGGAGATCTAAACCATGTTCCATTATATATGATTCTTCAATTTTCAGTGGAAGATCTCTCACATTTCTGAAATTGGTTAACCTAACTGTCTCCCCTTTCATGTGTTATGTACTATACTCCAAACAAGAAAAGGAGAATAATATAAATCACTTGTTTCCCCATTAGGCTATTTTTTCTCAAAATGTATATATTGTTTTTGTTCCACAGTAAATTTTGTTTCTTCAAGATTAAGGTAATTAGATTCTTGCTAACGAGCTTTATGAAAGAACCAAAATGTAATCCCTAACTTGTGTTTGTGTTTCTAAAGCATTTTTGTATGGAAAAGAAAAAAATTGCTGTTGAACAAATGGAAACTTGCATGTAACTCTAGTAACTGTGCATAAGCCTGCACTATATTTTGATGATCTTTCATACACTTGTTTGAAATGTAGGTAGGTGAACAGTATTTTGCTCATGCATCACATAATATTGTTTACTAAATAATCCCTTTGCTAGTTTTGTTTCCCATAATATTCTTAGAATTAGAAGTATAATTTTATTTTGACATTTTGAAGTTGAATTGATATACGACAGTAGTGTGACACAGTGTGTATAATTATTAATTAGGACGTAAGTGTTTTGTTTATTAATTACAAATACAGAATTTAAGAAAATAATTTATTTCCATCTTCATTTGACTTTGGAGGACAGGTAGATTCTTGTGGGGGGGAGCAATTAGAATGCTAGCAAGAAAGGCGAACATAAGTCCATGCAGGTCATGTCATGTAGGTAACATGCTAGCACCAGTTCATCAGTTTTCTTTCAACAATCAAGGTGCAAGGACGTCCATTTCACAAGTGCAAAAAGTATTCATTGTCAAACACTGCTTGGAATCTCATTCTTACTTAACTTGCCTGGATGAGTTCAGGGATACATTTCCTAATTTCTGACAATGTTTTGTTTGATGAACTGATTCTGTGACGCAGGAACCGTTCACCTGACTGCTTCAGTTAAGAGGATAAGATTGAATGTATGCATTGCTGAACATGGTGGACATTTTCAACATTTAATATAACGTTTTTTCTAATTTCAATGTAATTTCATTTTTTGACAACTAGAACATGTCGGGAATGGGTTGTGTGACTTTTTAGTTTCTTGTGTTATGAATGGCATACCAAATGAAAGCCCCACTTAAGAGCTTTCATTTGGTATAAGAATGAGCTCTGTATCTTAATTAGCACCAGTGTTATAAGCATTTTAGTGAATAAAAGGTTAAAGGGAAACATCAAAGTTTCAAAATGCAGTAACTTTGAAATGAATTGACATACAAAGGAAGATTTTAATATTTTTTACTTACTCATCAGACTTTTTAGGCTTACAAAATTTTGTTGAAATGCTTGTCATCTGCTGTGTTGATTTGGCATGGAAAATTACTTAATAGTGGTTTGTCCTCTTACACGACACATTAAAATGAAAATATAACCCATTTTTGAAATGTTATGTTTATATATGATTTGAGATTGTTTTACCAATGTTTCAGAGGTCGTACTGCCTCCGTCATCTGGATTTATCACCCTGATGACGGAGGCAGTATGACCTCTGAAACGTTGGTTAACATCGACCAGACTACACAGCGCAACAACCCAGTAGACAGAACTCTTCAGACAGAGATTAGGTTATGCCCTGGCTATTTTTATTTTATCTTTTTGACAGGTTTTGTGCTGAATCATACAATTTTTCTCTGTCTTAAACACATTAATGAATAAGCATCTTGCTGTATGTATTGCCATATGTAGGATGCCCTGAAAACAGCATACAAATGTTTGAATATTATCATTAAAGGGTGAGACATGCTGACAGTATTAATAAATTTTCATAACCTGTTTTGGTTTAAATTGATGAATAAAATACATTTTCACAGATAACTTGGATCTGTCAAAATGGTTCGAGCATGGTATATGGATTCTTCAGAAGAAGACCAAAGATTAGAACATCACAGAGATCCACCTCACTTCATTGACTTGGATGAACTATTTAGAACAACTGGTGTTGAATATTTCAAAGTAAGTACGAACAAACTGGGTAACTGCTTTCAGACTGGCTTTAGGGCCCACCCCAGCCTCCTACCTAACAGGTACTGGGGTCCTTTCCCAGGGATAAAACGTGGCTGGGGCGTGACGCTGACCACTCACCATTAACTAGTGCCGAGGTTAAGAATGAGTACTGTTCGCAACTGTAATCTTGAGACTTGGAAGGAATGCAGGAAGTCCGAAGCGTTAAAGGTTGACGCTATTCTTCCTCCTTCACCCCGCTTCCTCACTCCGCAAATCTCAAGATTACATTTGCGAACTATAGGAGCTATATGTCTCCCCCCAAGTGCCTACGTGGCGTGTTGTGGAACTTTTACTTATTTTTAATAGGAATTGCAAGGAAATTAAGAATGGTCTCAATTATGCTTATATCACTTCCATTCTCAAGTCGCAGATTTTTAAAATTGTTTTTTGTTGCACAGAGTGTACATGCGTTCACTGCTGAGGCTGGAGGGTGCTTGTTTCTTCCAGACTGTTCTGTGGTTCATGTTCGTTGTTGAATGAATAGTGCTTTTGTTAACACTTGATGTTTCCTGTGAATATTAAGTTTTTTACCCGTAGAAGGATAGGTAGTTAATGAAAGAATGTTAAATAACTGCTGGTATAATTATTTATCATGAATTTGTGTTAACAATAGTTGAATCCTGATGATCCAGTGCAGGATGAGAAACTGGAGAAAATAAAACTTGACAGAAATTACACGTATGAAGATCAGATAATATGCTCAAAGGAATGCCTACCAAATTATGATGAAAAGGTATTTATGGTACTCAAAGTACGAGGGTGAGTCAAAAATTATCCGCTCTCTGGCTGTAGAATTTATTTTAATCAACTTTTAAAAAAAGACAAATACATCATTTTTCTACATAATCTCCTTGCTTTTCAATACACTTTGTCCATCTGTCAACAAGCTTCCGTATTCCCTTATTAAAAAATGTTTTAGGCTGAGATGCGAGCCACGAATGCACCGCTGTCTTCACTTCTTCATCTTCGTCCTCGAAGGGCTGATTTTAGGGGACCAAACAGGTGAAAGTCCGATGGAGCAAGATCAGGACTATAGGGAGGATGCTGTAACACCTCAAAACGAAGTTTTTTCAGAGTGTCAACAGTGTGGGCAGAGGTGTGCGGACGTGCATTGTCATGCAAGATCACAACGCCCTTGGATAGCAGTCCTCTGCGTTTAATCCGAATTTTTTCTTGCACCGTAGTTACAAATGCACTGACGTAACACATTTTCACCCATGCACAGCAGTGACCTTGAACGGAAAGTGCTGATTAGAGTGCAGGCAACAGAAGTTTTAATATAACCGGAGTGCAAATAATTTTTGACTCACCCTCGTATTATAAAATATGACAAAGCTGAAATTTAAAACACATTATCTTCATCTTCAAATTGTAGATTTCCGGTCAACGTGTCTTACTTTGCTGTGGTTGTTTTTGCTTAACATATGACAACCAGTGTTAATTGTGGATTCTCATTCATTAACGCTTATTGTGGTCTAGATTTTGTCATATTATTGATGCTGCATTGGGTTTGACGCCTGCAGTTGTAGTTAATCTTTGAACAATCGGAATTTCTTCACAGCCTCATGGCCAGACTAAATTGACGTTTGATGCTAAAAATGGCAGATTCTGAAAAAATTGTATTTTATTCATTGCGGTTTTTAACGTAGAATATTTTAATGACATTTATCAATTTTTTTCCGTACCACAAGAGTTGTATAAATATCTTCAATTTCTTCTCTGTATTTGTGTTTAATTTGTATCGCAGCTACGCAGTTTCTTCACCGAACACCTCCATACAGATGAAGAAATACGACTTGTTCTGGAAGGATCTGGCTATTTTGATGTGAGGGATGGCAAAGATGAATGGATACGTATTGAGGTTGTTCGTGGGGATATGATCGTGATTCCATCAGGAATATATCATCGTTTCACTTTGGATTCCAAGGTTAATATTCTCCTCTTATACAGGGTTTGGGGAAAAATGGCCAACCCAGATGACGGATGCATGTAATTCTGAAAAACAGAGCCAAAGTGCGGAGGGACCAAATCCTCTGCAAGTCATTGTCAGTAAGAAAGAGGCCCAGAATGTACCGTCAAATGGGGAAAGCATGTAGTCATCCGATGCACTATTAGTCGCCTAATGATTGCATGCATATCATTAGTGAATTGGCAGCAAGGAAGGGTAAGTGAAATGGAGTATACCCTTAATGAAAATTGTGATATGTACCTGATGTTTGTTGTGGTTTTCCTCAGTCCCTCCATGCAAATGCTGTGATAGTACCTTAAATTAGGCCATGACCGCTTCCTTCCTTTTAAATAAAGAATAGCAGTTTTTTGGTACCAAGAAATTATACATTGTATTGGTGTGATGAATTCATTTTTGAATTCTCTTTCACTCTATTACATCAGTTTATTGTGGTATTTAACATATGGAGCATGGAATATTTTTAAATGGGTCTCTTGTCACCATGGCATGGTGCATCTTAAGGTTTTGGGTGGAGGATGCTGCAGAAATATTCAAGAAGCAGTCATGGACAGCTGATAGGGGTGGTTCTCCGGGTTGGGGTTTGGCAGCGAGCTAACAACTTTTTGCCATGAAAGACCAATATGTTACAGGAAATTCTTCACTATATATTATTAGCATGATCAAATCGAGGATGCTGAGATGTGCTGGGAATGTAGCACCCGTGGCAGAGATGATAACTGCATAAACAATTTTAATGAAAATTTGAAGGAAAAAAAAACACTTGGAAGACCGACCTATACATGTGAGGGGGATGACATTAAAATGGATCTTAAAGAAATAGGGTGGAAGGGTGTGGACTGGATTCATCTGTCTTAGGATAGAGACTATTGGTGGACTTTTGTGACCATGGTAATGAACCCTCAGGTTCCATAAAATGTGGAGAGTTGATTGACTACCTGAGCAGTTATTAGCTTTTCAAAAGAGCTAGTCGAGCCGTAAGTTTTAATTCTTTATGAAGAATTTACTGAAGAGTTTGATATAGTGTTCAGCACTCTTTCATATTTGGAAGGTCTTGGGTTTGAATCTTGGTTTGGAGACTGGATATTCTGTCAGTTGTTGTTTCTTGGCTCGACAACCCGTTTGTGGGTTGTCACCGCCTCCTTTTCTGGAGGTTTCTTGGTCTTGAAGTGTGCGTTTGTGAGTAGCGAGTGACCAGCCCACTGACTCTACTATTTCTACTCAATCCTGATTTGACTGCCAGAGCCATCAGGAGACGGGTGAGAAATGGCCACTGAATTTTGCTTACGAAACATCTCGTATCATGCTCGTAAGGTTCTTTTACATGCCGTACATCTACGACGTGGGACCGCCAGCTTTACTTCCGCTCCGAAGGATTTTTATCACCCTTAAAAATCCATCGACCTCGGCCGGGATTGAACTCGCAAACCTTGGGTCCAGTGGCGAGCACGCCAACCACTATTCCACCGCGGGCTATTCCGTCAGTGGTTGACCTTATTCGCTCCATCAAACGCTGAAATAGTGTCTTAAAATGGGGCATGACTACTTCCTTTCACATACTCTTAAGGTCATCGCACCATTTTATACCACATATCCTATGTAAATGATTAGGAATTGTTAAATAACGCAACTCTTACAGGCAATTGGATAGTGTTTGACATTTTTATGAAACAGCGTTCCTATAAATATGTTACTCTGTTACAGAACTTCATTAAGGCTAAAAGATTTTTCATTGGTGAACCGGTATGGACTCCCCATAACAGACCAGCTGATAATATGGAGTGTCGTGAGCTGTACCTGCAGAAACTAATCAAAGGATTTTGAGAACCGGTACATTCAAGGTGGCTTTTACTTTTTCAAAATGAAACATAATATGTAATGGTAAGTCTGTGTTAAGACACGTACATAAACATTTTGTTTTTAATTGGGGATTTTATATATGTAAGACTGGAAGGTTGGTGCTGGACGTGTATAAAGCATATAACACAGAAATACTGCGTTGCAGAATATATCTGTGATGCTTGAGGGAAAGGAGCAAAATGAACAAATAACCGCACTGAACATAATTAGAACATAACATTTTGTATGTATAAAGCGAAGCTTTCGCGGCGACCGAAGTTGATGAAACACCCTCGGGTAAGAAGCCACATCAGGTGGCTGAATGGCGAATGAAGCATTTCTTCCGCCGATGTTTCGAGAGCCATCTCTGCTCTCATCCTCATGGCAGCTGCGAAACGGAACTGGGACAGAGATTAGGTTATGCCCTGGCTATTTTTATTTTATCTTTTTGACAGGTTTTGTGCTGAATCATACAATTTTTCTCTGTCTTAAACACATTAATGAATAAGCATCTTGCTGTATGTATTGCCATATGTAGGATGCCCTGAAAACAGCATACAAATGTTTGAATATTATCATTAAAGGGTGAGACATGCTGACAGTATTAATAAATTTTCATAACCTGTTTTGGTTTAAATTGATGAATAAAATACATTTTCACAGATAACTTGGATCTGTCAAAATGGTTCGAGCATGGTATATGGATTCTTCAGAAGAAGACCAAAGATTAGAACATCACAGAGATCCACCTCACTTCATTGACTTGGATGAACTATTTAGAACAACTGGTGTTGAATATTTCAAAGTAAGTACGAACAAACTGGGTAACTGCTTTCAGACTGGCTTTAGGGCCCACCCCAGCCTCCTACCTAACAGGTACTGGGGTCCTTTCCCAGGGATAAAACGTGGCTGGGGCGTGACGCTGACCACTCACCATTAACTAGTGCCGAGGTTAAGAATGAGTACTGTTCGCAACTGTAATCTTGAGACTTGGAAGGAATGCAGGAAGTCCGAAGCGTTAAAGGTTGACGCTATTCTTCCTCCTTCACCCCGCTTCCTCACTCCGCAAATCTCAAGATTACATTTGCGAACTATAGGAGCTATATGTCTCCCCCCAAGTGCCTACGTGGCGTGTTGTGGAACTTTTACTTATTTTTAATAGGAATTGCAAGGAAATTAAGAATGGTCTCAATTATGCTTATATCACTTCCATTCTCAAGTCGCAGATTTTTAAAATTGTTTTTTGTTGCACAGAGTGTACATGCGTTCACTGCTGAGGCTGGAGGGTGCTTGTTTCTTCCAGACTGTTCTGTGGTTCATGTTCGTTGTTGAATGAATAGTGCTTTTGTTAACACTTGATGTTTCCTGTGAATATTAAGTTTTTTACCCGTAGAAGGATAGGTAGTTAATGAAAGAATGTTAAATAACTGCTGGTATAATTATTTATCATGAATTTGTGTTAACAATAGTTGAATCCTGATGATCCAGTGCAGGATGAGAAACTGGAGAAAATAAAACTTGACAGAAATTACACGTATGAAGATCAGATAATATGCTCAAAGGAATGCCTACCAAATTATGATGAAAAGGTATTTATGGTACTCAAAGTACGAGGGTGAGTCAAAAATTATCCGCTCTCTGGCTGTAGAATTTATTTTAATCAACTTTTAAAAAAAGACAAATACATCATTTTTCTACATAATCTCCTTGCTTTTCAATACACTTTGTCCATCTGTCAACAAGCTTCCGTATTCCCTTATTAAAAAATGTTTTAGGCTGAGATGCGAGCCACGAATGCACCGCTGTCTTCACTTCTTCATCTTCGTCCTCGAAGGGCTGATTTTAGGGGACCAAACAGGTGAAAGTCCGATGGAGCAAGATCAGGACTATAGGGAGGATGCTGTAACACCTCAAAACGAAGTTTTTTCAGAGTGTCAACAGTGTGGGCAGAGGTGTGCGGACGTGCATTGTCATGCAAGATCACAACGCCCTTGGATAGCAGTCCTCTGCGTTTAATCCGAATTTTTTCTTGCACCGTAGTTACAAATGCACTGACGTAACACATTTTCACCCATGCACAGCAGTGACCTTGAACGGAAAGTGCTGATTAGAGTGCAGGCAACAGAAGTTTTAATATAACCGGAGTGCAAATAATTTTTGACTCACCCTCGTATTATAAAATATGACAAAGCTGAAATTTAAAACACATTATCTTCATCTTCAAATTGTAGATTTCCGGTCAACGTGTCTTACTTTGCTGTGGTTGTTTTTGCTTAACATATGACAACCAGTGTTAATTGTGGATTCTCATTCATTAACGCTTATTGTGGTCTAGATTTTGTCATATTATTGATGCTGCATTGGGTTTGACGCCTGCAGTTGTAGTTAATCTTTGAACAATCGGAATTTCTTCACAGCCTCATGGCCAGACTAAATTGACGTTTGATGCTAAAAATGGCAGATTCTGAAAAAATTGTATTTTATTCATTGCGGTTTTTAACGTAGAATATTTTAATGACATTTATCAATTTTTTTCCGTACCACAAGAGTTGTATAAATATCTTCAATTTCTTCTCTGTATTTGTGTTTAATTTGTATCGCAGCTACGCAGTTTCTTCACCGAACACCTCCATACAGATGAAGAAATACGACTTGTTCTGGAAGGATCTGGCTATTTTGATGTGAGGGATGGCAAAGATGAATGGATACGTATTGAGGTTGTTCGTGGGGATATGATCGTGATTCCATCAGGAATATATCATCGTTTCACTTTGGATTCCAAGGTTAATATTCTCCTCTTATACAGGGTTTGGGGAAAAATGGCCAACCCAGATGACGGATGCATGTAATTCTGAAAAACAGAGCCAAAGTGCGGAGGGACCAAATCCTCTGCAAGTCATTGTCAGTAAGAAAGAGGCCCAGAATGTACCGTCAAATGGGGAAAGCATGTAGTCATCCGATGCACTATTAGTCGCCTAATGATTGCATGCATATCATTAGTGAATTGGCAGCAAGGAAGGGTAAGTGAAATGGAGTATACCCTTAATGAAAATTGTGATATGTACCTGATGTTTGTTGTGGTTTTCCTCAGTCCCTCCATGCAAATGCTGTGATAGTACCTTAAATTAGGCCATGACCGCTTCCTTCCTTTTAAATAAAGAATAGCAGTTTTTTGGTACCAAGAAATTATACATTGTATTGGTGTGATGAATTCATTTTTGAATTCTCTTTCACTCTATTACATCAGTTTATTGTGGTATTTAACATATGGAGCATGGAATATTTTTAAATGGGTCTCTTGTCACCATGGCATGGTGCATCTTAAGGTTTTGGGTGGAGGATGCTGCAGAAATATTCAAGAAGCAGTCATGGACAGCTGATAGGGGTGGTTCTCCGGGTTGGGGTTTGGCAGCGAGCTAACAACTTTTTGCCATGAAAGACCAATATGTTACAGGAAATTCTTCACTATATATTATTAGCATGATCAAATCGAGGATGCTGAGATGTGCTGGGAATGTAGCACCCGTGGCAGAGATGATAACTGCATAAACAATTTTAATGAAAATTTGAAGGAAAAAAAAACACTTGGAAGACCGACCTATACATGTGAGGGGGATGACATTAAAATGGATCTTAAAGAAATAGGGTGGAAGGGTGTGGACTGGATTCATCTGTCTTAGGATAGAGACTATTGGTGGACTTTTGTGACCATGGTAATGAACCCTCAGGTTCCATAAAATGTGGAGAGTTGATTGACTACCTGAGCAGTTATTAGCTTTTCAAAAGAGCTAGTCGAGCCGTAAGTTTTAATTCTTTATGAAGAATTTACTGAAGAGTTTGATATAGTGTTCAGCACTCTTTCATATTTGGAAGGTCTTGGGTTTGAATCTTGGTTTGGAGACTGGATATTCTGTCAGTTGTTGTTTCTTGGCTCGACAACCCGTTTGTGGGTTGTCACCGCCTCCTTTTCTGGAGGTTTCTTGGTCTTGAAGTGTGCGTTTGTGAGTAGCGAGTGACCAGCCCACTGACTCTACTATTTCTACTCAATCCTGATTTGACTGCCAGAGCCATCAGGAGACGGGTGAGAAATGGCCACTGAATTTTGCTTACGAAACATCTCGTATCATGCTCGTAAGGTTCTTTTACATGCCGTACATCTACGACGTGGGACCGCCAGCTTTACTTCCGCTCCGAAGGATTTTTATCACCCTTAAAAATCCATCGACCTCGGCCGGGATTGAACTCGCAAACCTTGGGTCCAGTGGCGAGCACGCCAACCACTATTCCACCGCGGGCTATTCCGTCAGTGGTTGACCTTATTCGCTCCATCAAACGCTGAAATAGTGTCTTAAAATGGGGCATGACTACTTCCTTTCACATACTCTTAAGGTCATCGCACCATTTTATACCACATATCCTATGTAAATGATTAGGAATTGTTAAATAACGCAACTCTTACAGGCAATTGGATAGTGTTTGACATTTTTATGAAACAGCGTTCCTATAAATATGTTACTCTGTTACAGAACTTCATTAAGGCTAAAAGATTTTTCATTGGTGAACCGGTATGGACTCCCCATAACAGACCAGCTGATAATATGGAGTGTCGTGAGCTGTACCTGCAGAAACTAATCAAAGGATTTTGAGAACCGGTACATTCAAGGTGGCTTTTACTTTTTCAAAATGAAACATAATATGTAATGGTAAGTCTGTGTTAAGACACGTACATAAACATTTTGTTTTTAATTGGGGATTTTATATATGTAAGACTGGAAGGTTGGTGCTGGACGTGTATAAAGCATATAACACAGAAATACTGCGTTGCAGAATATATCTGTGATGCTTGAGGGAAAGGAGCAAAATGAACAAATAACCGCACTGAACATAATTAGAACATAACATTTTGTATGTATAAAGCGAAGCTTTCGCGGCGACCGAAGTTGATGAAACACCCTCGGGTAAGAAGCCACATCAGGTGGCTGAATGGCGAATGAAGCATTTCTTCCGCCGATGTTTCGAGAGCCATCTCTGCTCTCATCCTCATGGCAGCTGCGAAACGGAACTGGTCCTATGTAGCGCGTTCGCCGATGGGAACAACACCTATGCCGAAGGTATCAGAAGTAACGCACACATTTCTGTAAAATAAGGTTTGCTTTCGTGACGAAGTATGGTTCCACCGAAGTGGATATATTAATACACCCCTTATTAGTCATAATATGGTGTGATGTCTCTCGACTGATAGCAATTGGCCTCATTTTATTCAGTGAAATATAACAGCTGAACCTTACTAGATATTGATTATGAATTTAATATTCTTTTCTTTTAAATTGACGTACAGGACTTCTGGTTTCGGCAAGATGTGGCCAAGACACATCATAAATTCCGCATTGCAGATGTTGGGCGACTAATTTTGGTTCGTGCATTAATTCTCTAAATTGTGACCTCCTCGATCCCGGGATCTGTCGCAACCGGATTTGTCTTTGAAGGAGAACGTA